ATTAACTTGTCTGGCATGAATAAACAGAATTTTTGAAACAATGCAATTTGGACTGTACAAAGTACACTGACACTGATGTTTCTTTATCCACCAGCGATGATACTGACGTTTAATTAACGTTTAAATTTTCACTTTCTTAACTATCTATTTTTTTATACACCGAGTGTAATTTTATATCGTAATTTAACCGCCTACGTGTATTTGTTGTAGCACTCGGATTTTGCAAAATTATATATACATGTATATATGAAAAATTTCTAATTATGTAATAAGCTTGAATGGATTAATTATCTCTTTTTTTTTTTTTTTTTTTTTTTTAAAAAAAAGAAGGTTTCTTTAAAGTATGAAAAATAGTGTATCCTTCGTTGTACGTTCTGTTTCCGAATTCCATTGTGTATTTAAAGTATAAATAGTTTATCGAATTTCTAGTAACTCATTTCAAATACGACTCGTAAGTTAAGCAGAAAAAAAAATCAAAGTTAAGCCAGCCAAATTAAAAATGTATGCTTATATTTTGTCTGTCTCTAGCATGAAAAGGGGCTTTTTAGGTGTCAGTTAATCATAAAACTTAGTATACCTCGAACACACGCTTATGTATTCATACTAATCGCACGCTTGATAGACGCCCCGCCTTCTCATTCAAATAATACGATGACCTAGTACATACATGTAGCTGTAATGGCGAAACCGGGATTTTACAGTGAAGTTAACGATTTTATTTAATTGATATAATGTATATATTGAAAGTTTCTTTCCCAAAAATCTTTTATGAGTATCTATACAGACTATGCTTGAAGACTTTAGCTATAATACAACAATGTTCTGATTTGAAAAGGTAAAATTCTGTATTTAAAAAGGGGCGAGAAAGCAGTGTTATGAAGATTCATTCTTTTTAACTTTGTATAATCATTTCATGTAAATGTTTTTGTTGTTGATATTTTTAGACTTCAGAGGATAAACTTCGCTGTGAATGTGTTCCTGATTATAGCAGTGTGGAGGCTGTTGATTAATCGTGTGTCTGTGGCAAGGACTCTCTGGAACTTCCTGTTGGGATGGGCCATCCGCATATTCAAGCGCATGCCCAAAGTAGTCAAGTCCTCATGATGAAAATCCATGAAACTTTTTGCAAGCATCTGTGATAATCTCTTTATATACTTGAACTTAAAAAAAACCAATCTCATTATTAAATATATGATGTTATGATTTAAGCTCTTGTGTAAATTTTAATATTTGATATATTACCTCTTATAATTTTTTTTTTATACAAAAGATACAAAATTAATGTGTACAAAAATTTAAGGAATATGGATTGCAGGGAAATAAAAGTGATAAAAGTTCTCTATACATATTGTTAATGTCTTTCAAAAACTACCAAATATTGACATCTGCATTTTTAAAATTCATGAAATCAATAGTGGGTGATATATTTAAAGAAAACCTCCTTAGCAGTTATTCAGTAATGGTAAGTTAATCCGTGCTGCCAATGGGGTCCACCACAACGCCTGTACTGATAGCTTTGACTAGATACAAGAATGGATCCGTTTAAGTACAAGTACTAATTTCATTGGTTGGATTCAGTGACTCAACATTCGATGAACGAGGACATCGTCATACTACTGGAGATAGAACAGCACATAAAACTGAGACCACTAACCATGCTAACAAGCCAGATATTAGTAGTCAATAGAAAACACAGCGTTATTTGTCTTCAGCAATACAAGTAATAGCTTTTCAAAAAGCTTGAATGACTTAAGCAATCAATATCTATTGTACGCATAAAGAGACTGTTTCGTTCCAATCAGGGTTCGTCGTACTGAATGAATAGGAAACGGAAAAAGGAGAAAACCATTTAAAAAAAAAGATTGTTTAATTAAGTTGATGGCAATGAATATACATGTATCAACATTTTATTTTGCATCAGTAATATGATTATTTCTTCTGCTAACCGTTGTTGTTTTAGAAACGCAAATAATAAATTCCGATGTAAATCTGCTTGCGCAAAATTTGTTCGGCTAGTTGTCAACTCACAGTTTTGGAAAAATTAATAGCGATTCTCTGTAACCACTTAAACTTCTTTGCCACGCATGGTCACCGATTTTGATGAAACTTTGCTCATTATTACAACTTGACACCAGAAACATATATCAAATAAAATTTCGTTGCTATGTGTCTTTGTTGCCATGGTAACAGCCAGAAAAGTTGAAAAAATTGAGATTTTCAGCTACTTTAAATCTTTACTGAGCCTTAATAAAGACTAAGAAAAACAAACAAACCATTCTCCCAGAAACATGACACCTTGTTGCCACTTATGCTATAAAGAAACTATTTAGAATTTATCTCTAAGTAAGTGGTAACCATGGGTACATTTGGAATACATTTTAGATGCTGAAAAATGCTGAAAAACGCTCTATAGTCACAAATGATAGATGTTACATGATCAAACTCAATCAACAACGCAAGAAAAACAATGAAAAATATTTGACCTCATGTAATTAGGTATTGGCAATATTATTCTAAAAATAACTTTCATGGTTGCCATGGTAACACAGTGTCACCATGCAAAATCTGTTGCTATGATTGGGTTAATGCTACTATCGTGAGGAAAAACAATAAAATTCATGAGTGGCACATATGCATCCTTAGGACCTTGCAACACCGACAACATAAGAAAAATTGAGATTAATTGTTACTTTGCAGTGTAACCATGGAAACAACGTACTAGTTGTTTAAAGTGATATTTTTTTTGCTGCTTTAGGAATTTACTAACCTTTTAATCAAGAAAAATATTATTTGAATCACCTTGAATAGTACTTATCTTGTAGAACTAAAGCTGAATATCATATATTGATAAAGCTTGTTGAAAAATACAACACTGTTGCTATAGTTACCAAGAAGAGAAAATGTTCGATTTTGTTAATTTTTTGTCAATATTAGACCCCATGTGCCAGCTTTTTGCATCCAGTTAGAGATTGGGTGATAGTCAAAATTGAAAGTCAGGTTAGTTGTTCACATATATCATTCATTAAAGTTTTGGGAATCTACATACAACGGTACGTATCCAAGGAAACAGAGTATTTTTCAGATTTTTATGTATGTTTTTTCGCCTTATTTCCATAGCAACGCACTATTTAAAGAATTGAAATTGAATTTTTTGAAATGTAAAAATTAGGGTCACACCAAGGCCTTTAAAAATTGATCATCAGTTATATAGAAATATGCTTTTTAAAAAGATAGGATAAGATTAAAACACTAAGAGAGTAAATTTGAAGTCCCTTTGTGTTATTAAAACCATGGCAACCATTGCCAACCTATAAGAAATATCATATTTTGTCCTTGGTATATGTTACAAGGATCTCTTCTCTATTATTTGCTTGCATTTCAACCTATAATTGTCTTTATTCTTAAGTGTATGACTTTATAAGATTAAATGAACAAAATTATTACTTTTGAATACTTTGTTTCCATAGTAACGTATGTTATAGATGATTTACCAAACATGTTTATCATGCATTTAAGACACCAGGCGTTCAACTTTCAGAAACAGTCATTACCACTTGTTTGCTTTGCTGCAAACGTTAACTAAGGGTCTCTGAAGATGTTGAAAAATGCCATTTTTCAAACTTTAGGACATGTTGCTATGGTAACCATGACACGTAGCAACCAATTTATGCCTGATTTGAGTTTACGGTATCAAAGACTTTTATCATAGAGAGTTTGGGGAAATTCTGAGGCTATGCGTGCCACAGCTCTTATATAAAAGTTCAAGTCATTACAGAGAATGGCTCTTAATTTTTAATTTTCCTGATGCCACTTCAGACAAAAAACCAAAAAGATGTGCATGTACAACATCTGACTCAAACATTTTCTGAAATTTTGGTGAATAAGTTGAAAAAGGATGAAAATCTCATTAGATTCTGTCGTTTGCACTAATCATACATATCGAGTGCAATTTTAATGTTCATTACTAATGAAGAGAGAACTATATCGATGAAAAAAGTTATATATTGTACATTGGATATTTTCAAAATTCAACGAGGTCAGTTATCTCTCATTTAATGGAATATCATTGCTTTCCATTTCTATAGCTCTACCAAGCCATGGATCCTCATTCCGCATTATTTGCTGCTACTGTTTGACGTTTCAAATTGTAATCGACAGACCCATCACTTCTTTGCATTAATTGTTAAGCTGCTCTCAGCTTTGTGACTGCCTACTCTTTTCCTTTTCTTATCTACATGTATATAATTCACACAACGTTCATTATTTAAGTATCCTAAAAACCTAGATAAAACTAAATATTTGATAGGCTTATTAATAGTTATTTAAATGTGTCGGAATTGGTGAGTGACATTTCTCCCTGAAACATCACATTATAAAACTTAATAATTAGCACAAAAAAAAAGATTATTTAAAGAGCTTTTCAGGCCCGTAGAACGCGGGAGTATGGTGTGGGGGGCCCTTTCCACTTTTTCTAAGTATAGTATTTTGCTATGATAGTAAAGTTTTATTTAGATGCCCCCCACCCCACCCCCCTCGCTTTCTTGTTGCTGTAAGGTCAAGCACTGGCAAATTCCAAGATTTGGACATCTAAGGAGCTTTTTTTTGCAAGATTTTTGGGGGGAAATTCCCCCCCCCTCCCCAACTTATGAGACAGTTGCTACAGGCCTGCTTTTGCATCCATTTGACATGGGTTGGATTTATTGGTAATGATCAAGTATCGATGGTGATAATGCAGCAAATGAAATTTCTCGGTTATATCTTATGTGTTTCTCGTTTTGATCCTTTGGTTGAATAAAAGTTCATTCTGTGCCTTAGATAAAATACTAAAATATTGATATTGATATCACTTGTTTGAAGAGTGCTATGCAGAAAAAAAAGTTTTCATTTTCTGTTACAAAAGTTTAATTGAACACATTGATTAAATAATGACAAGCATAGTGAAAGTGAAAAAATGATTATATTTTTTTTCATCTGTAAATTCAAAGATTAAATCGGATGCTATTTAAATAAAACAATAATGTAATTGCTTTTATATAAGGATATATTAAATAACGTTCTACTTCTGTTCATCATCATTAGTGTGATTTTCACCCGTTCGAGCTGCTTGACGTCACTTCAGCGGATGGTACAACGCTTGCGTACGAGCTGTTGGGCCTGACTGTAGAATCTGGTGAGAGCGACAGTAGTTTTAAATACGTCCCCTCGTGATCGTGCAATCCAGAGAAGGGATTGTTGTTCGAAGAATGTTCCGAGTTATAATCCATGTTGTTCTGATTAAAATTGATATGAGATGGGTTGTCCTGTCTTTGAAATGGCATTGTCCTGAAAATATTGTCAAGTGTTACGTGTTTGATTTTCTGATTTGTTTTATTGTTAATAATCATGCTAATTTCATGTTAATTTCACACACACACACACACACCCTCACACACACACAGAGAGAGAGAGAGGGGGGGGGGGGTAAAAATTACCTCAACCATAACAGAACCAATACACAATTTACACTACTGGAGACCATACCGTTATTCAATATTAAGACGTCATGGACAACCATAGGGTGTTCAAATAGAGATGATTTTTTCCATAAAGTCAAATTATGCCAATGCAGGCCGATTACATTCTCATCCATTCATACGTAAACTCCCATAATAACTAAAAATCACGATTGTGCCATATTCCATATGACATTCGGAAGTCATCATGCACTAATCTTGGTAGCAAAACTGGCGTATATATATATCATTCCAGAATTACAGATTTATAACCTGGTGAAAAATTGCATTACAATTTATGTTTCAAAAATTACCGCGACTTTGTTAAGATGGTCATGGCTCATGGTCCTCCAATGATATCATCTAATCTTCGTTCCAGGGATATTCTTATACTATTTCAGATAGCAAAGCTACGGAAGCTGGTTGGTGCCAGGTAGAAAAAAAATATTTTATCTGGCGACCGCCAGATCTTTTTATTTGGCGGTCGCCAGATAAAAAAAATCTGGCGGCCGCCATATAATTTCTGGCGGCTGACAGATAAATATTTGGCGGCCGCCGTATAATTTTCCTTAATTACATAAATAATTGCCACATAACTTCTGGCGGCTGCCAAATAAGTTATCTGGCGGCCGCCAGATAAGTTTCTGGCGTCCGCCAGTTATTTATGTGGCGGCCGCCAGATAAAATATTTTTCTACCTGGCACCTACCGGCTTCCGTACAAAGCTATAGCACGGGCTCAGTATTATCTTGATTAAGACGCATTGTTACAATGCACTTTGAAAAATTACGCACTTTGAAATTTTTTCAAAGTGCGTTAAATTTGGGACCAAATTAACGCACTTTGACATATTTCTTTTCAAAGTGCGTTAATATCGACCATATTAACGCACTTTGAAAAAAAATGTGCACGGCTTGATCAATATTTTTTTGCAAATTTTAGGTATGATGAATAATTATTTGAAACTGGTTGGATAAATTTTCGGTGATGACGTTACTCCAGGATCTGCCATATAGAAGTTTTAAAGATTTTTAGGGGTTGTCTTGTTCCCAAAGGTTTCGTAAATGTAACAAGCATTCTGAGAGTATTGCATTAGCAATACTAGTCCCCTACCGGCAAGTGTAATCTGGTTCCCGTTTAAAATTGAAAATGCCATAACTCTGTCAAAAATCAATGAAGCGGGACGAAATGCAAACTTCATCTATAACTAATCAAGATAAAGTCACATACCAAAAAGCAGCTCAATATCTGCAAGCGTTTAGAAGAAAATTGCGGAAAACCCCTAAAAATTGAAAAGGTCGTAATTCCGTCAAAAATCAATGAAGCGGAACGAAATGCAAACTTGATCTGTAACTCATCAAGATACACTCACATACCAAAAATCAGCTCAATATCTGCAAGCGTTCAGGAAAAAAAGTGCGGAAAACCAAGTGGGACAGACTGACAGAGGGACAGACAGACAGACAGACGGACAGACAGACGGACGGACAGACTCAGAGGAAACCTATAGTCCCCTCCGGTTTCACCGGTAGGGGACTAATAAAAGGGAGATGGGTATTTTAGAAATTATGGAGGAATGGTTGTTTAATACATGTAGCTCAATTTCGTACTTTTTTTTTTATCCAGTCTAGGTAGATGTAAGATCTAAGTTAGGTAGATGTAGGGGTCAATTTATGACTTAAAGTATCGTATTTTTCTCAAGGAAAAAGGAAGAAATTATGACTTTTCCATTGAAAAAAAATTTCCCGCACAATATGATGGTCTTTTTATAGTTATTTGATATAAGTAATTAGTCTTGCCCCATGATCCCCTGCACTTCCCAATAACACAGTGCAGGGGATCATGGGACAAAAATAATAAGTATTTAGATATCTAGATGAAAAAAAAATTGTTTATTCCCGCACAATATGATTTTTAGATCCCTACCGGTGAAACCGGGGGGAACTATATACTAGGTTTCCTCTGAGTCTGTCCATCCGTCTCTCTGTCTGTCCGTCTACCTGTCCCTCTGTCTGTCTGTCAGTGTGTCCCATTTGGTTTTCCGCACTTTTTTCCTAAACGCTTGCAGATATTGAGCTGGTTTTCGGTATGTGAGTGTATCTTGATGAGTTACAGATCAAGTTTGAATTTGTTCATTGATTTTTGACGGAATTAAGACATTTTCAATTTTTAAGGGTTTTCCGCGATTTTCTTCTAAACGCTTGCAGATATTAAGCTGATTTTTGGTATCTGACTTTACCTTGAATACTTATAGATCAAGTTTGCATTTCGTTTCGCTTCAATGATTTTTGACGGATTTATGGTATTTTCAATTTTTAACGGGAACCAGATTACATTTGCAAGTAGGGGACTAGTATTGCTAATGCAATACTCTCAGAATGCTTGTTTTTAACAGTTATTGATTAATATTAAGAGGTATGAAGAAATTATTTATGCATTTTATGCAAATTGCTTTTGTAAAGCTACTTAGGCCAAAGTATAGTTAGTTGGCTATTGTTGTATAGATCAGCGATACGGCCCCTGAATCCCTTTTCTTTAATATAATAGGGTGCGTTATTATTATTTTTTTTTTTTTTCAGGAAAGCTTATCTCAATTTTTCGTTTATTTGACGATAACTAAAGTCCATTGAGAGAAAGTATACCAATGTCATACCAGTTAGATAAATACATTCATTTGGGTAGGAAAGATAAAGAGTTGGGCCCGGAGACCTTCTACCTATCTTCTCCTCGTTCTCGATGAGGGTAGATCAATTCATCAGTTTTTCGAAAGAAATATAACAAAATAATGCTGTCTATTACTTAAATCTAAGTCCAGAATTTTTTTGTTTTATACATATTTTTTTTTTCAAAATGCGTCAAGTGTCTCCATGATAAAAAAAAATTGTTTTTGTACACTCTTAACGCACTTTGAATTTTTTTTCAAAGTGCGTTGATTTTGTCCCAAATTTAACGCACTTTGAATTTTTTTTCAAAGTGCGTTGATTTTCTCCCAATTTTAACGCATTTTGAAATTATTTTTCAAAGTGCGTAATTTTTTCAAAGTGCGTTGTCCAAGGCAATCTTTACATAAGGTACGAAATTCTACGTGTACAGCACAAAATATGACCCAGACAGCAGACATCTTTGAACCCTAATGAGACTTTGATTTAGGTTCAGGTGATATTGATTCAGGAAGTTGATATGTGTACTTTCTGGTTATAATTAGCATTCCTTCGACTAAAAGCTTTCATCATTCCCGTTTTATAATTATAGGCCATAACAAGTGTTGAGACGGTGGGCATGTAACCCCCATCCCCCTCTCCTTTCACGCAGCTATGGAAAATTAATCTATTGGATACTACTTTTAAAGTCAGAAATTTATATATACGCACTGGTAGCCATTTTGTTCCATGCCTGCAAAGAAATGAAAGCAGAGGTTAACATGTATATTTTTGAGAGAATTTTTATTTTATCAACAGTTGACGTTTATACATTTATATGAAATTGTTACGGTAATATCTACGTCCACGCTACGATGGATAGATAATTAAAATATAAAAGATTTTAAGAGTATATATATATATATATATATATATATATATATATATATATATATATATATATATATATATATATATATATATATATATATATATAAACTACAGGTATTATAAAGTATTTTACCATTTGATGACTGCTCTTCTTGATGTGTATCACTGGAAAAGAAATTTAAACTTGTAAGTTGACAAAGGCTATAATAATATACGAAGAGGTGTCATGTGTTTCGATTCGTTTTTCGCAGCCCAAAAGATGCATTTGTAAGGCACCAATAGAACGTTCAGCTAAGTATATCTTAATTCTCTGTTTTGTAAGTATAAGACTTCATACTAGTCCAAAGAGTTTTCTCGACCAAAATCAGAGAGACAAACAGACAAAGGTAATCGAAGTCATAGAGACAGACAGATAAAATCTATGTAGTCTTTGGAGACCAGGTTTTCCAACAATATGTTGGAATTCCAACGGTCACTAATTGTGGTCCATTATACATGATATAAGCAAACCTGTTTCTAAATTCCAATGAAGCAGAATTTATTCAAAATCTTCCTCATGAGAAAAAACTTTTGCCTTGGCCTTCAGTTCAACATTCAGAAATATCACCAACCCAACTCTTTATCAATTAACAATAGTTAATATCATTCATATGTCGACTCGATATATCCAAGTGACCTCGACATAAAAGACACTCTGGAGTCTGCCACATCTGTTTTGTATTTGGATATGTTTTAGGTCAGTGCTTTTATTCTAACTTTGACTACGGAGTACTCAGTCTACCTAATTAATAGATAGGGCTTACAGCAGGTGTGTCCGGTCGACAGGGGATGCTTACTCCTCCTAGGCACCTGATCCAATCTTTGGTGTTTCCAGGGGTTCGTGTTAATTGGTGCCCTGATCACGATTCCTTGTGTTTCATGGATTTATGAGATTGATAACCGTTCGTTATCTTCATCTTTTACATAAATAAACAAATAAGACAGAAGTCAGAGAGACAGGCAGACAAAGAGAAAAACTTGTCAGAAGTTAGTGAGACAGATAGGTAAACAGACAAACGGGACCAAAACCAGAGGCAGATAAACAAATTCGACCGAAATCAGAGAGACAGACAGATAAACAGACAAACTCAAATGAAAACAACCTCCTCCTCTCCATCTTAAAGATGCGAGCACACTGAAAAGGAACCACAAAATAAAAACTTAACCTCTTAAGTGCAAGATCTCATTATTTTAATTTTATGATCGAGGTTTTAAAGAATACTGGAAACAAATATTAATACCCTAGTCCCGAAAGTCTTTCTTCAAGATATCTGTTAAATAGATAACATTCCCTATAATTAACTCTGCAAAGAAATCTCCCTATATCTTTAGTAATTTTACACAGTTGATGTCCAAAAGAAATTGTTCAATATTTTAAAAGGAAGTACTCAGTAAGTTGTGTTCTGCACGTATTAAATTCATATAGAAAAAATAGAAAGGTACGCGTTAATATCAAATTATCTTAAACATACAATTAATGTAAGCATATTTTAACTGGATAGCCCAGATGACCACAATCTGAACAAATCTGAATCTACCGGTACACTAATTGTCATGAAGCTTTCACTAACTTTCCCTTTTTAGTCCAGTTAATATTGTTCTTGAGTCGATTTTTAATGACATCACCGAATTTCCACTATTTCTCAATCATCTCCACTTAAAAAGGGCCTGGCTATTCATCTGAATAAATTAAATCCCCTTTAACAAGGATTGTTACAACGCACTTTGAAAAATTACGCACCCAAATTTGGGACCAAGTTAACGCACTTTGAAATAAAAATATTTCTTTTCAAAGTGCGTTAATATCCACCATATTACATGTAACGCACTTTGAAAAAAAAGTGCACGGCTTGGTTAATATTCTAGCAAATTTTAGGTATGATAAATAATTATTTGAATCTGTTTGGATAAATTTTCGGTGATGACGTCACTTCAGAATCTGAGATATAGACATTTTAAAGATTTTTAGGGATTGTCTAGTTCCCAAAAGTTCTCGTAAATGTAACAAAAGGGAAATGGGTCCTTTAGTTATAATGGAAGAATGTTTGTTTAATAGCACGATTTTGTTTCAATTTTATTTCCAGTCTATGATAAGCTCTGTAGACTGATGTAGGGGTCGATTTATGACTTAAAGTTTCGCATTTTTCCTAGGGAAAAGGGAGCAATGATAATTTTCCCGCAGAATATGATGGTATTTTTATAGATATTTGATACGTATTAAGAAGATGAAAAAAATGTCTATTCCCGCACAATATGATTTTTTTTACAGTTCTTTGATTAGTATTAAGAGGTATGAAAAAAAAAATTATGCATTTTATACAAGTTGATTTTGTAAAGCTACTTTGGCCAAAGTATATATAGTTAGTTGGCTATTGTTGCTTAGATCAGTGATATAGTCCCTGAACCTCGATCTCTGCTTTAATATAATAGGGAGCGTTGTTTTTTCTTTCAGGAAAGCTTATCTCATTTTTTTAAAAATCTATTTTACGATAACTCAAATTTATTCAAAGTATACGAATGTTACCGTCATACTACGTTATGTAAATACATACATTTGGGTAAAGAAGATAAAAAGTTGGGCTGAGGGACCTTCTACCTGTCTTCTCTTCGTTCTCGATGAGAGTAGATCAATTCATCAGTTTTCGAAAGAAATATAACAAAATAATGCTGTCTATTACTTAAATCTAAGTCCAGAATTTTTGTTTTATTTATATTTTTTCAAAGTGCGTTAAGTGTCTCCATGGTAAAAAATGTTGATGTACACTCTTAACGCACTTTAAAAAAAAAAATTCAAAGTGCGTTGATTTTGTCCCAATTTTAAAAAATGCACTTTGAAAATTTTTTTCAAAGTGCGTTGCCACAAAGGATGCTTTGTTGCAAATTTGGTTGATTTTAGCTCGATGTCAAAAATGTTAAAAGTTTACAACGGACGGACAGATTAGATGGATACCAGACAAAATGGGGTAAGAAAAGCTCTTGCACTTGAGTTTTCTGCTCAGGTGAGCTAAAAGGCCATGGTTCGATCAAAAATCAAATAAAATCATAAGTTATATGAATTTGGTTTTCTTGTATACCTGCTCCATCTAAAGAAATATCTGTAATCATATTTTTTATTGTCCGATCGTTCGTCTCGCTCTCTTGTAAGAAATCCCCCTCCTGCAGTTTTAAGAGGTAGCAAAAGATATCTTAAATAGGTATTGATAAAATGAGGTTTATTGTGCTTTGCATTTTTAATTTGTTTTACAGGAAAAAACGAAACATATCTGTACTCACCTCTCTTTTAGAGAAGAAACACTCAGACTGGCATCTGGTGTATGATAAAAAATGAAAATTAAGTAAAAATGAGAAGAGCATACTTTCGTTATATTTCATTTATATGTAAATAATATATCTTTTCGAATTGAGTAATACCAGTAAAAGACATAAAATTTTTAAAACAGCAAGAACTATTCACATATTTTTAAAATTCAGACTTTTTTTCGTGTACATTGAATATATCTAGTGTATTCCGGTTGTATCCTCTGTCATGCTTTCAATCATAAATGTATTTTGAGCTCAATTTAGAATAAAATAGAAAAAGAAATAAATACAATGGTAAAAGTGGATACGGAATTGAGAATTAATATTTTTATTCCGAGTACTTCGACATAATGAATTTCAACTTGACATATTCATGATATTTAAATTACTGATAAAACGGAGCTCTTTGAACAATGCCTTGCAATTTACTATTTTCGTGGTTTACTTATTAAAATGGAGTACGCATGATATATGTTTTCTCTTTTATCCGCATTGGAATTTTTAAAACACAATTTCTTTCAAATGAAATCTAAATATTGTTGTCTTTATTGAAATGCATGTAAATACAATTTAAATTCCTAATTCCAAAGATATTCATGTCTTGCAAACACAAAAATGTGCAGCAATATGAAGAGATACATGTACTAGTAATGAAAAATGAAGTGATTTAAGAAAGTCATTAAATACACATACATGTTATATTACCAGAAACAGAAGTAATACTAGTACCGATGTCCTTATTTCTCCACAAATGACTTGATATGTCATTTGACTTGAAATATTTTTATGAATTGTATACCCTTTTTATTTACAAATTTAATTAAATAATTATTACCTTTTCTTATTGTACTTCGCATTTTCCAGCATATAGCTAGAATAACGAGAATGGCGAAAGAGAGAGCTGCCAAAGAAATGCCTATGAACATTCCTGTATTATCATGGATTATCTCATGTTCGTTGTCTTTTTCATCTGGCGTCTCCTCATTTCCTTCAGATGAATTCTTTGTTTTAAAAACAAGTTCTGTAGTTGACATATTATCTTGTGAATTTTGTGATGACTTAGAAGTTTTCGTTGATGAAGTCACCTCTAGTACAAAAAAAGAGAAGTTAGTAATGGTCCTCTTCAATACTTTAGACATTAGAATGGACATTTCGAGAAGTCATATACATGTATCTGACGCTATGATTAGTTTGAGGCTTTCAAAATACTTAAAAATATTTCTCCGATGTTAAAGGCTTCCACATTGGACAGCTAAAGATAAACGTTGTACATGTATGTGCTTTTTATTCTTCTTGCATGACCTTATATGGCACTGTCCATTCATTAGTTAGGTTAATATAATTTGTTTTAAATTTACTGGTACATGTATTTTTAATAATGGGAAGCATCACGCCATCATTTTATGAAATGAATAAATAATAAATGTACAGGTAAGGAGAGGGAGAAAACAAAAGAAATTAATCACAGGTGACATGAATGATTTGACTAAAAAATGAATATTAATAAATCTTATAATAAAAACTAATAAATCTAGATATGAAATGCATATGACTTTATTTCCTACTCTTTCCCTTTAGGTTTACCTTTCCCATTTTCTCAAGCTATGATACAGACTATAGCAATTAAGTAATAATCTTACCTGGACAAATTCCAGTTTTGTACACATCTTTTTCATCACACGAATTTCAAATGTGTGCAAAACGGAAACAAACCGTTTTAGATTACCAGAGAGAACGTTTAAGAATATTTTTGAAAATGCAATGAATGGACATGAAATGAATATTTTTTTAAAATAATTAGCGTCATTTATTTTTTATTCTATATATTATCATTAGTATTGATTTTATGATAAAATCTTTCTTTTTTTTTTAATTTTATAAATCATGATATTTGGTAAGTATTATTACTGATTTGTCTTCCTTTTAAAAAAAAATATATTTTTTTAATTTTATTCATTTTCATACTCTCCATGATTTAATAATATTTTAATTTATTAAAATGTTTTAGTGCCAGTTCTATTAAACTATGCATCACAGATATTTGAAAATACATGTAAAGTAAAAGTTAGTACTGATAATAATGCTTTGAAATCTTGAATCTCTGTCCCGTTATCGTGCGGTTAAATGGAAATGAGAATAACACTACACATGTGATAATTAAAACAAAATATCGCGTTATCTGCAAAAATAATGGAATAATGTGACTGATAACAATGATATATAAACATATGTATTCATTTTCAAATTAATATACTAAGCCTACTTAAAAATTATGTTTAAATCAGATAATTCTGTTTGAAAAATATGCAACAGCATTACATTCTCTAATGAACAATCTTTTATCATTCAAAAATTTGTTCCTTATAGATGTGCATCTGATGTTATGGGGGAATGATTCCTTCTCTGTTGCATAAAATGCATTTAAAGATTATTAACAAGCTTTTTTAAATGAATATGGGCATTTTTCTAGACATCATAGTTTTTAAGAAGAATTATATTTTGTATACACATGTATTAGGAATTTAATCTAAATTTTTGACACAACTAATGTTTTCCCAGTAGACTATATAAATTAAATTATATATTATGGCAAGAGAAGATTTTCTAAGTTGTGTCTAATCTTTTTGACTTTTTGTCAATAAAATATGTCCAATTCTTATCATATATAAAGATGTATCATAAAATACTATATCTAATAATGTGTGGAAGAAATTACTTAGAAATGCATATACATGTAAATATACAATCGCAGCTACTTTCTATCTTTATATAATGCATTTTTAACAGTTCTTATTACTAGTATTTTTGCAAAATAATTTAAATTCTTTTGCTTCCCTCTCCTTATTGTATTAGTAAAGTAATAATCCAAATACATTCAATTGTTTTATTGTCAAAAATTATTGATCTCTTTGTTGATGAATTAAAATTATTTATTCATTTATTAAAATCATTCTTAACCTTGTTTATTCTCTTCTTATAACTTGTGATCCAAAAATGTAAGTAATAATACACACACACACACACACACACACACACACACACACACACACACACATATATATATATATATATATAAAGCACTAAAAACCAACAACACTGTATATCCGAAGTGTCGGATCTACTAAGTAGATACAAGGTCACGGATGGAAATTTATATAAAGCACTAAAAATGACCAACGACACGAACAATAATAATTGTCAAATTTTCGGGACAACCTGTCCCTTCCTCAGGACAAAGAAAAAAGTTAAGAAGTCATAAAAACAAAGGAAATAGAGAAGCAAAAACAACTAGCACTACTACTAAACTACCAAACACTAAATATTTACAAGGTTACATGTTTAATTTGGAGTTTATAAACAGTTGTGAACAAAGAAATCCGGAGCGCTATGAATTGCGTCCGGTCTATCGGGTGTACTCGGTGAAGTGTGATTTACATAATTGAACAAATTAATTATCGCTAATTAATTACGGCCAACAGTAAATCGTACATTGTCTTATTCTCTCAAAATAGCGTAACTCTACATGATAAAAAGAAATTAAAGAAAGATAATATGGAAGGACAATTTTGAAATATGAATTTGGATATATTATAAATTTGGAAATCGGAAAAAAGAAATAAACAAAAATGTGAGCATTTTTGTTTATTTCTTTTTTCCGATTTCCAAATTTATAATATATCCAAATTCATATTTCAAAATTGTCCTTCCATATTATCTTTCTTTAATTTCTTTTTATCATGTAGAGTTACGCTATTTTGAGAGAATAAGACAATGTACGATTTACTGTTGGCCGTAATTAATTAGCGATAATTAATTCGTTCAATTATGTAAATCACACTTCACCGAGTACACCCGATAGACCGGACGCAATTCATAGCGCTCCGGATTTCTTTGTTCACAACTGTTTATAAACTCCAAATTAAACATGTAACCTTGTAAATATTTAGTGTTTGGTAGTTTAGTAGTAGTGCTAGTTGTTTTTGCTTCTCTATTTCCTTTGTTTTTATGACTTCTTAACTTTTTCTTTGTCCTGAGGAAGGGACAGGTTGTCCCGAAAATTTGACAATTATTATTGTTCGTGTCGTTGGTCATTTTTAGTGCTTTATATATATATATATATATATATATATATATACATACATATATATATATATATATATATATATATATATATATATATATATATATATATATATATATATATATATATATATTAAACAGTTAGAATTATAAATATGTAGAACCTGCTTAAGTAATATCTAATCAAAGAAGTATTAATGATAGATATTCTGACAATGAATTTGCACAACACAGGTAATAATCAAAACAGACTACTAGTATACACGGGTGACCACCCAGGTGTGAAAATTCTAATTTTTGCTAGATGGAAATAAGAAATTCAAAATTTTGGAAATTCAAAACAGGAATCTAAGAAGAGGACAGTGCAATGAAAATGATCTGCCAGCTCTATACCAAAATTGCAAAATTCATGTTCCTTTGGTCTAGGGTTCAGGCCCAAAGACGGGGCTATATTGATTATATATTGAAAATACTTTGCATCGCTGAAGATCTTCTTTACACAGTGTACCTTTGAAAATCTTAATTCATTCCTGGACATCAAGCATCCTAACCGTATGCATTATGGCAATTAGCTAAAGCACCTTATCTAATTGTGCAATTTGTGTTCCAGGGTTAAGGTACAGTGAAGAATTAATTTATTTTATATTAAAATTTGCCCACCATCTAATGTTTGCATTGTGAACTTACGTGTTAACGTTTGGTTTGGGAACTTATGTGTAAACTTTTGATTGAGGCAAACAACACCGACATCAGGTGTTGATGATCTGGAGTAGAAATCTGTTCCATTGATTGTAAAGGAACAATCACGAATTGATCTCTCATGCCCAGCACAATTTAAATCTCGAATCCAGACAGGACCTGCTCCATGTAGGTAAGTTCCATTAGTGATGGCTACTCCGCTAGAAAGGAAAAATATCGTATTTGCTTAACCAAAGAACGACTTCTTAAAGGGAATCGTAAATCACGAAGAAAATATACGAGAAATTTGACTTAGATAGTCGAATTGTCAAAATTATTGAAGTTCTTAATAATTCATTGCTGTAATTGCTATGAAGAAGTACTTACTAGTAATCACATACTAAGTATTCTTCGTTTTGATATATTTTTAATCCACAAAAGTCTCAATATGCCGACTCTGCTTATTTTAATTAGCTTTTAATTAGTATATATTTTTAGTTTTTATTGAATATGAACATATCTTATCGATGGAACTAGATATGATACGTACGATTCAAATCCCAGTTGTGTACAGATAACTTTAGCGTTTTTGCCAGATGACCAAACACTAGAGGATAACACACTTCCCCAGGTCCCCCCTATGGACAGCTCCACTCGACCTCTGTCATACTGACCATCTGATAAACGGACTTCATAGTCGTCCATACCTGAATAAATAATGTGTTTGTGAAATACTGATGAAAAACCCCCGTATGGCAGCCTAAAGCCAAGGTTTAAATTTTTCAAATGTAGGTCAAAATCCAAGGTCAAAAGAGTTCAAAAATGTTGGTATTCAAGGAAAGTCTTGTCACAAGGATTACAGACGTGAAACTTGAAAGCCCTAGCACGAACCATTCAGAACATGTGGCAAAGATTCAAGTTTTTCAAAAGTACGTCATACTCCAATGTCATGAGGTCAAAAAATTGGTACCAAAGGAAAGGTCTTGTCACAAGGAATACATAAGTGATACAAGTATATAAAAGCCCTAGCAATAACCGTTTAAAATTTAAAGACAAGGTTAAGGTTTTTTTTATAAAAATGTAAGTCAAATTAAAAGGTCAAGGTCAGAGGGGGTAAAAATTGTTGGTATCCAAGGGAAGGTCTTGTCATAGGAATACACATGTAATATATGAAAGCCATAGCACCAACCGTTCAAAAGTTATGGCCAAGGTTTAAGTTTTTCAGAAGTAGGTAAAGGTAAAACGAAAAGTTGGTACCCCCCAAAAAGATCTGGTCACATGGAATATATATGTGAAATACAAAAGCCCTAGCACCAATCCTTTAAAAATTATGGGCAAGTTTAAAAGATTCTGCAGACAAACAGAAAGATTTTGCAGACAAACAGAGAGACAGACGGACGGAGAGACCAAACATTATCTGTCCCAAATCTTTGATCACAAGAACATAATAACACTACAAACAGGAAATACAAATCAATTGATTCACTCAGAAACCTTGATTTATTCACTATATGAAGATACATGCCTGGGAATATGTATAACTAATTGAAGGCCTTTCGTTCTTGAAGAGAATATATTTATGTTATTTTTTCCCATGTAATACCTATATCAGAAGTCCATTTTAAGGCCACAGTCAAGCCCTTGCCCATGATTTGGAAAAAAATCTTGATTCTTCACCAAATGGAGATGTTTATGTATTGATATGACTTGGTACAATTCTTTTATAGAGAAATTTTTGACGGAGTTTTCTCCATATATTCCTATGTCAAACTTGACCCTTCATTGAGGACATGCCCTAGAATTAGGGCTCATGATATGAAAGAAAATACATTTTTACCATTTGGGGATGTATGTTTATTAATATGACAAAATGTAAACCTTCTGATCACCAGGAGATTTCTTTAAAGCTTCCTCTCACATATGGCAATGAAAGACTTCGATCTCCAATCTTTGCCCAAACTTAACCCCATGGGCCATGTTTTTAAGAAATTTGAATAAACATTATTTAAGGTAGATTTTTCAAAATTTTTATCTTTTCTGGCTCAGTGCATCTCGAGGTTCATGACCCTTCAGAAAAAAAAAAATGAATTTTCTTATCCAAAATTGTTTTATGGAAAGTTTTGTTGGAATTGGAAAAACAAAAACAGTTAACAATCACCAGACAGACAGTGGCGAAACTTTGATCTGAAAAGCTTGTGTTTTTTAGCCTTTGTCTCAGGTATCCTAACACAGATAAATTCAATATTTCTAGTTCCTGTGATTACAGAATTTTCCAAAAATGTTTTTCTATTTTACTTATGATACTTTTTTTCATTGCCATCTCAACAATATTCGCCATTTACTTACATACCTGTGCATATTACTCCATGGAAATCGTTTGAAATAACTTTTCCCTGCCCATAATTCCTTTCGCACTGTTCTATTACCCTTTCACTTCCGAGGCATGAAACATAACTCATCAGCCTCCACCCTGTTTTGGGTCCAAAATGGTTATAGGCAAAAGCTTTGAAGCTAGCAAAAAGGATAGAAAATTTTCGGGTTTAATGTATAAGAAAATGTTCGAAACAAATGTTCATTGAAGGTGATAAGTCAAAATTATCATTGTTGTTGACAAACATTTATCAAAATAACCTTAAATGATCGATATATTTTTTGGTAACTTGAGAACAGATCTATTACATAATTATTATTTGATCAGAATAGCAATTATTAAAAGAATCAAATAGCTAGAACAATAATAAGCTCGAAGAGCTGTGTATTTGGATAAAGGGCTCTTACTGTAATTTTCCAACAACATAAGGAAAGCATCAACAAAATGGAGAGGGGAACTAACAAAGAAATACACTTGTATATGGTGTGAAATCACCTTCAATACACTATAACTAGAAAATTGTTTGAATGTTATGCATTTGTTCCTGCTCTGTCCACTTTTGATATGGCAACAATTGGATCATTATATATTTCAAATTGTGTATGTTTTATCCAAGTTTATGTTTGAATTCTAAATTTTATCCCTTGCACGTAACTCTTCTGTAGTTGGACTTACATGAACATAAAAATGACTTCTGGTGAAAATTTAACAGTGTCGATTTAAAAATTTTGTGAAAAGTTGTAGTAGAAAGCTGAAGATAACAAAGAAAAAATCTGCAAACAATACAAATCTGTAAATAGGGCATGAAGCAGGGGCGCCCGAAAATTCAAAAGGTGGGACCAGGTGCCTAGGAGGAGTAAGCATCCCCTTTTGACCGGTCACACCCGCCGTGAGCCCTATGTATTGATCAGGTAGACGGAACATTCCGCAGTCAAATTAGTATAAAACAAAGGCCGAACAATTAATATAAACACGCGAATCAAAATACGACCCAATGAAAGGTTACATTTGCTAACAAGATCATTATAACGATTATAGAATTTATGAAATGCTGACTTTAATCGACGCTGTTTAAATCCCTGCAACATCAATTTATCTGTCAGTAGCCTGCCTTGGTTTAAACATTGATCGTGCTCAGAGCATGTATCGAATAAGTTGGGAGACGTAAACACCATAATATGCAAGTGATGGCGGAATATTACTACATGAATAAAGAAAGTTGACGACGGAAAAGCTGAAGTCATTTCGTTTGTCATTAATGGGTCCTCATCGTCTGTAAAACATCCAAATACGAAGCGGATGTGACAGACTCTGTGGTGTCTTTTATTTTAAGTTCACTGGGATATATTGAGTCGACATTTGAATGGAAGTAGCTATTGTTAATTGATAAAACGTTGTTGATTTATCCAAATGACGAGACGAAAGCCACAGCAAGTGTTCTAAATTTTTCTGTAGCTAAGAGTTCTAAAGACTTTAACTTTGTAATATCAATTACACAGGAAATCCAAGTTGTCGACAAGCAACTGTTGCCTCCTGTATTCTCCAATGGATAGATGTCTCCGGGTATATATAACCGTGTAAATCTCCAAGTGATAGGCGAAGTGTCCCTTGATGTTGAGCAAGACCATCTATAACACTGAGTGTAAAGGAGTCTGAAATAGAATCAAATACAAAAATTGAATGTTTCATCTATACCTCAAACATATGATACAGATGAATCAATTTAAGACCAAAGCATATCTAATCTAATGGTGAACAAAATACGAGACATTACATCTATTTTAATCAACAGTTACAAAAATATTACTTTGACAGGATTTGTTAACATCATTAATCATTGAAGTATGCTTAATGATGTTAACAAATCATTTCAAAATACTTTCAAATTTCAGATATAATCAAGTCTAAAACGTGGCACATCCCCAAGTCATGGTACTAGTAATCCATAAAGTTTAAATTAATTTTACTTGTGTATACCGGTATTACGTATTGCAATTCAGGTTTTCAAAACTGTCTTGTTCTTCAAAAGGTCAAGATCATGTCAATTTAGGTCATGAGCAATTGCCTACTAAGGTTTAAATTAATTTCAATCGAAGGTCCAAAATTGTGGCCTTGACATGCGTTCGTCCTTTGAGGCGTGTCCCAACTTCAGATAATGGGTAACAACATATTTTTAATTCAGTTCCATTGTTTCTTTTGTAAAAGTGATGTGCAACACTTAATTTTGTTTTGAATTTCCAAACATTTTTTCCTACAAATTTTAATTTACCAATTGCTGAAGATACTAATTTTCCTATGAGATCCCCAAGTGGAACATTTCAAATAGTCCTATATTCAAGTAACAATTTCATTAATAATATGAATAGTTCTTGCCTTCACAGGAAAGGTAAGCATATTGTTCTGTTTTGAATGTTCCATCAATAATCAAAGAACAATCAAAAATACTTTCTTCTGTACCAATACAGGAAATTGATGATGCCCAGCGACGAGCATGCATGGAAGGAAATGCTTTAGATCCCTCATAGTAAGCTATATTTCTGAAAAAGAGAAAATTCCTTACTAATGTCGTCGTCTGAATTCATTTCTCTGTCAATTCATACCATGATCATTATCATATATTTTAAGATTATCGTGTATTTCGTATCTAATGAACATTTTTTATGACATAAAATAAATGAATTGATTCATACCATGAAAGAACAGAAATCAGCGATATAAACTCAGTACAACATTGTTGGATTTAACAAAGATCTGTGTATTTTAACAGCAATTCAAACATTCAAAGATAAGGGAAAATAAGTTATATTAGCCAGATACGTTATTCAACATTCGCCTTACGTTGTAAGTCCAAGTTGTCGACAAATAACCCTTGCTTCGTTTGGTCCCACTGGAGGTATGTAACCTCTTTCTCCCTCTATTGTTAGTTCTATCAAACCAGTCTTTGTACTATTCCCTCCAACAAGGCTTACCTCTGGAGAACCTGTAAACCAATTAATTGTTTTTGCTCTTTTTAACAGTGAAAAATGCAAATGTGACCAAATATTTCCCTCATGCAAATCATCCCTTCCTCTTTCTAAGCATTAGCATTCCAAATTTACGTTCGACAAATACATACAGTTTTCATTTCTTAAAAAAAAAAACAATGAATATTTTATTGTTAATCACTTAAAGAAAAAAAAATGGTCGAAAAATACTGTCAAATCATCATTGTTTGAGGGGGTCAATGTTTCGGGGTAACTAAAATTTTACTAGTTTGTAGGGCCATAATTTCGTGGGTAACTTGCATGCTCTATATTAAGATACGTAAATTAATGTGTTCAATGTATGTACGCATGTTTGTGGGGATGAAAATTCGAGGGTAAGGGTTGCCCACGAAATCCAAGAACATTGATCCCCCACGAACAATAATGATTCCATAGTAAATTTTTATAATTGTTTCTTGTCATTGAACAGAGGAGTCGAAATTCAAACAAGAAAATACCGGAGCAAATAACAGCAGCCGCCTGGTAAGTGTACGTTATTCCCGATACAAACAGTTTGCAGTCAAACAAAGTGGGTTCGTTCCCATCACAAATGGCTCTAGAAAGCCACTGGTGGGAACTTCCTTGGTAAAATATACCCGATTTGACAGCAAACCCAAATCGACTGAAAAGACAATGATACACAAGAAAGAAAATCCAGTAAAGACTTAGCAGAATATTGGTAAACTTTTCAAAATATGCGGTAATAAATCTGATTGATTTAGATAACTTGACAACAGCTTTATTTGACTGACTGTGCTAAACATTATTCTAGCATTGTTTTGAAATTACTTCAACATTGACATAAACGAATCTATAATATATCACAATTAATTCTACTAATCTTTTAAATGTATGTTTCGTCAGAATGTTAGGTAACATTGTATCTCATCTTTCATGCCATTTTCTGTTAAATCAGAAAAAAAATACAGGATTTTTTTTTGTGTATTCAAGCTGACTCGCAAGGTTTAGACAGGAAACACAGTTACAATTATTATAATATGATCATAATTTGCTCTTAAAATTAAATTATAGCTATGATGGACAATTATTATGATTTATAAGAAAATATTTTTGTAGACATCGTATACCTAAATAATTGCTTCGTCGGTTAGATGTTAGATTGTGAAAATAATTGATTGCTTAACGTCCTATTCGAGAATTTTTCACTTATATAGAGTTCTGATGTGAAAATCATGTAAATTTTAAATGTCTATGTTTAAAAAAGTTGTTTTTTTTGGGGAGAAGGTGATCACAGGTGTGACCACAGCTTTTTTTTTTTTTTTTAAATTTATTAAACCTGTAGAATTACAATTTTATGTAAAATCAAATATGGACAAATTTGTGCTTCATTACCTTGGTTTTTGTAAATGTCTGCACACCGATTTTGCTGCATTGTAATCCCAGTCAGCTGGATCTATTGTTCCCCATCTGTCCGCCAAGAAGACTTCGACAACACCCTGAGTAGTACTATTCCCAGCAAGTTTTACCATAAAACTGGCCCTGTCTGTAATTATACATGTGTTTTATTTAATGTCCATAATACTCACCATAATTTCTATCAATTTTGTTTGGTTAGATCTAAAGTGCTAGAATTCAGTAAGTAAAATATCACTTGATTTATTGGAAAAGAATCTTCTTTTTTTTTAATTTGAATTTATATCTTTATGAATTTCAACCGTTGTTTTTAAAAAATGATGAACTTATTACTTAATACAAATGTATTCCATTGCAAAATTTATTCTACATGCATTCACTGTATAAGTAAAAAAATGATTTCCAAATGTTTAAAAAGTAGTTGTTTTGTGTTAAAACAAGATGAAATGTGCAAATTGTAGACACTATTTACCTTGACAAATGAGCCCAGCATCTTTCACTCGATTATCCAAAAACCCGTCTATGGACAAAGGACACTCTAATATATTTCGCTCGTTTCCTGTGCATTTGAAATCCTTCATCCAGACTCGGTTATCCAGGTGTCCAAAAATCTCTGACTGGACCGGCAAAGCCTTCCGCCTATATAATTCACATAAGTGGCTAAATATTTAAAATAAAATTCACAGGTTATCTTGTTTACATTTTATTAATTTTTAAATTTTTAATATTTGAACGCAGATGTTGATAAGTTGTAATTTGATTTACCCTAACTTTAATCTTCGAAATGTATATCCCAGTAATTAAGGTGAGGAATATATCTTGGTATAACAATTACTGCTGAAATTAAAAATATTCTTCTCCTTACGAATAAAAACCGAGTTGCTGACACGCTACAGTTGCCTCTTCTTGTCCAAAACCATCTGCATCTAAAGTCCCCCATTCATTTTCCAGGAAAAAACGTAAAGTTCCGTACCAACTTCCATTATATATCTCTAACACATTTTCAATGACATCTGTAAAACAAAGAATCATTCAAAGCTAACTTTGATATATTTTCGTGTTTTAGAGAGAGAGAGAGAGAGAGAGAGAGAGAGAGAGAGAGAGAGACCTGCACAAATAACTCCAGCTTCTATTCTTGGAAAAAATCTGTTTGCCAAGACTTCAACGCTGCAGCTTAAGATTTGTGCATCTGAGGAACAGGAATCCTTTACTTTTATCCAGGTTAAGGTTGGTGTCACGCCATAAAGTATGTTATTTACAGCTAAACCTTTTTTCCTGAAAAGAAACGAAGCATATCACTAACTGCTATAAATGTACTGCTACAGTATAGCATACATGTAGTATACATATCATCAGACAAATGTTGCATATATATAATCAATAAATAACGCATTAATATTTCCAAAAAAAAAAAAAACAACAAAAAACAAAAACACAAAATGTTAATGTTTATTAGATGTGAACATCATGCTTACTGCATACATATAAATCTATTTTGTAGTATTAAGTGACTTACTATTCAGCATTAAATAATTAGCAGTTTGCAAAAGGACATTAGACAGGCTTGTATCTTAAAGATATCTCAAACAATTGTTATGCTAAAAACTTACAATATAAATAAATGCGGATACTGTTCATCAACATTACCCCTTTAATCCAATCTGATTGCAAATTATATTTGCTTTCGAATGTGTCCAAGTGCTAGAGTCAATTCCTCCCCATTCACCGTCCATGTAAACCTCCACTCTTCCTGCGGTGCTTCCATTGTTAAGGCGAACTTTAAAATCTGTATAATCTATTAAAAAAAAAGAACTCTGTCGAACTTTGATTACATGAACACAAATGCGGATCAAATAAATTAAGGAAACAAGCGTGCGAATTCCAGTAATCCTTAAGACTGTGCCAAAAAACTTTTTGTCAAATGTTCAAAAATTTTAGTTTTCATGTTATAAAAGAAGTTATTGTTGAATTAATCATTTTTTTTTCATTTTGAAGCTGCTTTAAGCTTACCAGTACAAACTACACCTGCAGATCCAGTTCCATATTGCCCTGTTACCTCGTTTGGACAGTCAATGAGATTGTTTTCTGTTCCGTAACAACTAACACGAGTCAACCACTCCCAGTGGCTGAACCCATAGACGTCATTTACAACTGGTAACGCTCTAGAGCTGAGCATTCAAATAAAATATATGGTAATATATGTGAACTCATAATGACGGTGTCTATTAAATTGCCTCCCATATAAATTGAATAAGTATAATGCACAATGTGTGCAAACTATCCTGATGTCGGGAATTAATAGCGATTCTCTGTAACCACTTAAACTTCTTTGCCACGCATGGTCACCGATTTTGATGAAACTTTGCCTATTATTACAACTTGACACCAGAAGCATATATCAGATAAAATTTCGTGTCTTGGTTGCCAGCCAGAAAAAATTGAGATTTTTCAGATATACTTTGAATATTAAGCCTTAATGAAGACTAAGAAAAACAAACAAACCATTCTCACAAAACAGGACACTTTGTTGCCACTTATGCTATAAAAAAACTATTTAGAATTTATCTCTAAGTGGTAACCATAGGTATATTTGGAATGCATTTTAGATGCTGAAAAATACTGAAAAACGCTCAATATTCACTAATGAGAGGTGTTGCATGATCAAACTCAATCAACAACCTAAAAAAACAATAAAAATATTTGACCTTAAGTAATTAGGTATTGGCAATATTATTCTAAAGATAACTTTCATGGTTGCCATGGTAACACAGTGTAGCCATGCAAAATCTGTTGCTAAGATTGGGTTAATGCTACTATCTTGAAGAAAAACAATAAAATTCATGACTAGCACATATACATTCTTAGGACCTTGCAACACCGACAACATAAGAATTATTGGGATTAATTGGTACTTTGCAGTGTTACCATGGAAACAACGTACCAGTTGTTGAAAGTGATATTTTTTGCTGCCTTAGGAATTTACTTACCTTGCAATCAAGAAACATTTATTTGATTCACCTTGAATAGTATTTATCTGGTAGATCTACAGTTGAATATCATATATAGATAAAGTTTGTTCCAAAATATAACACTGTTGCTATGATTACCAAGAAGGCAAAATATTCGATTTTGTTAATTTTATATCAATATTAAACCCTATGTGCCAGCTTTTTGCATCCAGTTAGAGATTGGGTGGTAGTCAAAATTGAAAGTCAGGTTAGTTGTTCGTAAATATCAATCATAAAAGTTTTAGGAATCTACATACAAGGGTACGTATCCAAGGAAACAGAATATTTTTCAGATTTTTATGCATATTTTTTCGGCTAATTTCCATAGCAATGCTCTATTTAAAAAATTGAATTTGAATCTTTTGAAATATGAAAATTAGGGTCATACCAAAGGCTTTAAAAATTGAACATCAGTTATATAGAAATATGCTTTTTAGAAGGATGGGATAAGATTAAAACACTAAGAGAGTTTTAAAATCTCTTCGTGGTATTCAAACCATGGCAACCATTGCCAACCCATAAGACATAACATATTTTGTACTTGGTATATGTTACAAGGATCTTTTGTCTATTATTTGTTGCATTTCAATCTATAATTCTTTTTATTTTTAAGTGTATGACTTTATAAAAATTAAATGAACAAAATTATAACTTTTGAATAATTTGTTTCTATAGTAACGTATGTAATGGTTGATTTAACAGACATGTTTATCATGCATTTAAGACATCAGGCCTTCAATTTTCAGAAACAGTCATTTCCACTTGTTTGCCTTGCTGCAAACGTTAACTGTGGGACTCTGAACGTGTTGAAAAATGCCATTTTTCAAACTTTAGAACATGTTGCTATGGTAACCATGACACGTAGCAACCAATTTTTGCCTGATTTGAGTTTACGGTATCAAAGACTTTTATCATAGAGAGTTTGGAGAAACTCTGAGACTATGCGTGCCACAGCTCCTATACAAAAGTTCAAGTCATTACAGATAATGGCTCTTAATATTCAGGAAATATAAATGTGATGGTAAATTACTTTACAAAATGAACCAGGCACTAAAATACCATATAAGGCATTATGTCCAAAAGAAATTCTAGTGCATTTAACTAGTATATATATATATATATATATATATATATATATATATATATATATATATATATATATATATATATATATATATATATGAGAGAAGAATGAAAAGAATGAGTGTACCACGACTGTTTGTTTTGAAAAATAGAAAAAAGCCCCGAAAACAATATCTATATATTATTGATGCAAATAGGATTTTCTCAACCCCAAGTAAAATAAAATGTTCAATATCTTTTCTATAACTCCACATTTGATACAGTCAATTATTTTTAAAATCACAATAAATTTAATATTAGATATTAAATTAATAAATTTAATATTAATATAGCTGCTTTGCGTCTGCATTTTTCAACTTTTAAATTTCCTTTGATCGAAGCTTCTGACATTGCTCTTAAAACAATATACAACTACATCTAATAGAATATATAACGCAGATTATTTGATTTTCTTACGAGGGTTTCTGTAGATGTTTGCAAAATAATGAAGCTGATTTTTCATTCCAAGATTTTTTGTTGATTCCTCCCCACGTTCCGTCTATTTTAATTTCAACCCTACCTGCAGAAGTATTTGATGCTAATCGATAATGTACACTATCTGTATCTAAAAAAGAAAGATAAAAAAATTATTATTATATAAATACTGCATGTAGTTGAGTGTAACATTGAAATTTTTCACCCCAAGAACACCATTGTCAAATTTTCAATGTTACACTCAACTACATGCAGTATTTATTATATTATACTGAATGTTTTATACTAATGCATATTACAGTGAACTTTGCGCGCATAAATTCTGCGCAGTCAATATTTTTTGGAATAACACCCCTCGTCAAGCAATGTTGACTATTGCTATGCTGGAGGGCGTGGCTTCATTATTCAGCGGTTAATAGTGTTTTTTAACAAATGTTTCTCGACGAATCAGATTCAACTAATTTATATGAAAGTATAATAAATATTATAAATTATTTCACTTATTTGTTTGTTTGTTTTTACCGAATGCAATACGCAGATAGATTAATGCTTCCCATAGAATATCACAGTGTACTTTGTGCCTTCAAGCTACCAAAATATGACGTCATAATGGGAAATTGGGTCAAGTCACTGCCAACTTGAGGTGTTATGACGGGGAGAGTGTCATGAACTTTACACTTTATTTGAAACTGCATGTAACATACTATATAGCTATTGCAAAATTCACGGGTCGTTAAAGGTTGTTTAAGTCTTGTATGTCCGAATATTTTAAAAATACATCGCTTACTTACCCTTGATTAAAATTCAGCATGTTCAAAATGCTTACGAAAAATATACTTTTGAAATGTGCTATGTGTTATACCCGTGGTTGGAGGTAGAATTATTTTTGTGTGTAACATAACAAATATGGTTATATATAGACGAGGGAACCCTCTATATAAATTGGAAGTACTAAAGTACAATACTTATAAATTAAAACCCAAACCGACCTCGCAATGAAATATTATGTTTTGAGCGTAATTTAAAGCTTCGGGAAGCTGCGTACCAGTAGTAAATTAAAAACACAGTTGAAGTTTATATATAGAAACTTACTGCAATATCAAAGTGTTCCAGAATGACACAAGAGAAGTGATTTTGTGATTATACATTTTTATGAAAATTTGTAACAGAGTAAGCATTATCTTATAAGGCTCTGTGTTCCAGTACTGGACGTTAATGCGAGGTACCTGTACATATTACCCCAGCTTTAAAAGAATGGTAGTATGACACGCCTCCCATTTCGATACAGTCCAGCAGTGATTGCTCTTTACCCGTACAGTACGTCCTATCTATCCAATTCAGAGAATAGATGGAACCAAACATGCTACTCCTCACAGGAAGAGATGCGGAACTGAAAGATGAAAATTAATATTTTAAAGCTCTAACTCTTATATTCATGAAAGTGGTGAGGATTATAAACAGTATCAAAAGATTGTATTTGAAATCTAAAATTCAAATGTCTGGAAAGCACAACTTGTGTGAGGTAAATAGCTCAAAGACTTTTGTAAGCAATTATACGAGGTTCTCGCCAGTAATGCTTTTCCCCCCTCTTTCTTCTCTTTCTCAGTGGATGTTTCTTGTACCAGGTATTCTAAACTTTAATATTTTTGGTCTCGTGGAAGGTTTTGTAACTACAAGAACTATACCATTGATCTTTTTAAAAATTACAAAGGATACTTAACTTTCCCTTCGTATTATAAGGTTTGATAGCTTTAAAAGCAGATAGCAATTAGAATTTTAAGAAATCATCAAAGTTACCCCGTAAACAGCTACAGTAAAGTAGAATTGAATTATTTCATTAATTTAACCTCTATCTAGTAATCATCCGTGGGAGAAAAAAAATTGATATATTATTGATAGCTTTACAAGGAGAATTTCTTCCTTCCCTCATCCCCCCTGTCCTACAATAAGACCCATAGGATTGAAAATGCAGTTCTTCTGTAATATTATTTTGGAGATAATTTTCTATTTACTTTATTCTTCCATAGCATCTGATACCATTCCTGTTCTCAGAGGTCCAAGTTTGTCCCCCTCTCATAATCTGTATTTCTAATTTGACTTTTGAGAACGTTTACTGTTCGTTATCTTCACATTTCGTCAAGATTTCGTCGCCTCTACTTACTGTGGTAGACCAAGTTCCCTACAGGCGACGGTTGCCGCTTCTCTACCCCAGGTATGGGAGGAATAAGGCCGAGTGTGTAAAATAGTGCCCCACAATCCACCTAGGAACACTTCTACATAGCCGCTATTTGCTGTCTGATTATTAACCAGTCTTATCGAAAACGAGTTACTGTCTGAAAACAAGATCAAGATATCATTGTCTATAAGATTACAGTGGAGTCATTTTATTTCATGGAGGTTCAATTTTCGAGGATTTTCTTTGTATCTTTGTCCATGAATTAACAACTGAAACGTACATTAAGAGTATATATTTCATAATGAGATTTTCGACCCAAAACCTACATCCTATCGAATTCTTTGATTTTTCAATAATTAAAAAAAGTTGATAAAAAACGGGTAGCATCTGTTCCTTCGCCATGCGCTCGGAAATTTGAAGTGAAAGTTGCGGGTCCTTCGGATGAGACCTTAAAAACCGAGGCCCCGTGTCACGGTAGGCGTTGGCACGATAAAGATCCCTCGTTGCTCAATGGCCCTGAGTGCCGAGTAAAGGTCAAAATTTGAAGCCCTTCACCGGTATATGGTGACGTCTCTAAATGAGTGAAAAATTCTCGAATGGGACGTAAAACAACATACAATCAATCAAGCACTCTGTGTGTCGTAATAAGACATATTACGTCAAAAAAGAAATCAAGCAAAACCTCGTCATTTTGCATTTCAGCGAATCAAATTACTATGAAAGATGCCCAGCTGTTTGACAGACAGTCAAATATCCTTAAGGTTGTACTTTATGAACCATGACACTCGATCCATCAACTAAATTCTGATGTCAAAGACTTGTATTAAAGAGGTGTTTTCAACTTGATTCTGATCCCATTAACTTGTAATAAAGGTATGTATTCAACTACATTCTACTGCCATAAGCTTGTATTAAAGGGATGTACTAGATTAGATTCTGATGTCATGATCTTATATCAAAGGGGTGTAGACAACTAAATTCTAATGTCAAAAGCTTATTTCAAATGACTGTACTCTAAATGCTGATTGCTCTACGTGAGAACATTTTCTAAAACGAAACAGGCTAATGACGATTAAGATGATGATACAACGATATCAACTTTCTCGTTTAAAGTAAACATTTTGGGAATTCTACGGTCGACACAATCCGTCGTTGGGACGAATGTTGACCTAATGTCGTTTATGCAATTTGTTAGGCTACTATTTTCATAGTCTTCGCATTACGGATTTTTCCGAAAACGCGATTGACAAGGAGCACACGGCAGGTGCAATTGGTCGGCAGGGTAAGCTTACTCCTCCATGACAACGGATCCCTCCTCTGTTTTCAGAGCTCCATGTTGGCTTTGTTCAAAATTTATATTGTTAAAATGAACATTTGACAATCATTGTTCGTTATCTTCAGATTTCACTTGTATCAAAGGGGTGTACTCGAATGAATTCTCATGATGTAAGCTTGTATTTTAATTATTCTAATCTAATTATAATTGTCTAGCTTGAATCGAAGTGGTATAATCGACTAATCGTCACAGTAGCTCAGTCGGTAGAGCGATCGCCCCATGATCGGAAGTTCGTAAGTTCAGCCCCGTCCACAACAGACCTAATAGAGAGCAACTGTTCCTTCGCCAGCGCGCGGTTCTTTGTAATGAAAGTTGCAGTTCTTTTGGATATCTTAAAAATCGAGGGCCCGTGTCATAATAGGCGTTGGCACGATAAAGATCCCTCAAGCCCTTCACGAGTATATGGTGACAAAAGTTTTTGAATGGGACGTAAAACAACACACAATCAATCATTCTGATGTCGCAAGCTTGTATAAAAAGAAAAGATGAGAGTACTCAACCAAATTCTGATGTCAAAAGCTTATATTAAAGTGGTGTACTTAAAACTAAATTCTGATGTCATAAGCTTATATTAAAGTGGTTTACTTAACTAAATTCTGATGTCATAAGCTTATATTAAAGTGGTGCACTCAACTAAATTCTGATGTCGTAATTTTGTATCAAAGGGTGAAATGTCGGTTTGGATGAGATAAAGACATACTACTATGATACCATAGCATAAATTTTTAGTGTGTAGCGGCATAGAACAGAAAATTGCTGACTTGGTACTTGGTTACAGTTTCTGAAGAAAAACCTTTATTTACTGTAAATCATTAATGGAAATTATAAACTTCAAGATGAATTTTTACAGCATTTTCTTTTATTTGTTTATTTATATGTGGATAATGAGAGCATTTTATTCAATGAGTTTCTTGCTTAATCTTTGCTTAATCTAAATTACGATCTCCCCTAGTAACAAGTGTCATTATGATGTCATTCCCCCCCCCCCCCCCCCAGTATTTATATAACGTACAGTAAAAATAAGAAACCGAGGAAAAATACAGAAATAGCTATTTCGTGTATGAATAGTGAATTGGTATGCTTTCTAAGAATCTTTTGCTTTGTCATTTAATGTTGATGCAACACAATTTTATACGTCAATGAAGATTGGAACCGTCACGATAGAGCGCTCGCTCCTTAATCGGAATGTCGTGTGTTAAATCACGGCCGCGGCTGACCAAAGTCGATAAAAAAATACAGGCAGCAACTGTTCCTTTGCCAAGCGCTCGGCACTGAGTGAAAGTTGCGGGTCCTTCGGATGAGATCTTAAAAACAAGGCCCCCGTGTCACGGTAGGCTTTGGCACGATAAAGAACCCTCACTGCTCAATGGCCCTAAGTGTCGAGTACAGGTCATCAGGAAATTAAAAACACGTACTGCAAGGTCGTAAAAATGACAATCAATTTTCAAGTTTTGTGTTTTTCGACAAAAGTAAACTAGAGGTTCTGTGAGCACTGAGTTTACAAAATGATACCCCCGCCTCCCATATGTTTGTAATGGCAAAGTCCATGTTTTGCTATGGGAGACCCGAAATAAGTGTCCAATCAACAAGTAAAATGAAAGGTATATGGTTACGTCTCTTTATGAGTGAAAATTTCTCGAACGGGACGTAAAACAACATTCAATCAATTAATCAGTCAATCAATGAGGATTGAAATAGGGTGTTTCTATTAGAATGAGATATTTGCCCAGTAATGTTTCCTGGAACCTATCAATTTTAAGCAATTCGAGAAAATTTGCCCCCGTCAACTAGTATAGTTTTGAAGCACGGTATACGCATTTTTATTATACCCCCGCTTGAAAAGCGGTGGGTGTATAGTGATGGGGGTGTCCGTTGGTCCGTTACAATCTGGAGTACACATCTCTTATCCGCAACTCCTCTTATACCATTGAATAAAATTTAATAAGACTTTCACAGATTTGTTACATAGTGCCATTGTGCACCTCCTATCTTTTTTTGATCGAACACATATTTCGGGTTTCCAGTATCAAAAATAAACACTGCCATTCTTTTTATAATATTGAGGGGCACCCTTCTCTTATTCGCAACTGCTCTTATACCACTGAATAAAATTTAATGAGACTTTCACAGAATCTTTATTACTTAATGCCAACGTGCACTTTCATTTTACTTGTTGATTGGACACTTATTTCGGGTCTCCCATAACAAAACATGGACTTTGCCATTACAAACATATGGGAGGCGGGGGTATCATTTTGTAAACTCAGTGCTCACAGAACCTCTAGTTTACTTTTGTCGAAAAACACAAAACTTGAAAATTGCATGATTGTCATTTTTACGACCTTGCAGTACGTGTTTTTAATTTCCTGATGACTTTTTTATTTGTTTTTTTTTCCTCCCGCATTTTCTTTCGCAAATATTTTTTTGAGAAATTGATACATAAGAGAGAAAAAAGGTATTTGATTTACATACCAAAGATAATATTTTTCAATATTGCAAATTCTTGCTCCTTTTATCACAACAAAAGTGTCAGTAATAAAAAAAATCATCTCTATAAAACTTTAAAAGTGTTTTCATGGTGTGTTTTTAAAAGCAATATTACCTTGGCAAACGACCCCAAAGTTATCTGACTTTAGAAAAAAGCCACTTATTTCAAAGGAACACTGCCATAATCTGTAAACGACACTAGTGCACTGTAATTTAGTTAGCCATGTTATGCTTGTTGACTTTCCGTAAAATTCTGAGTCCACGTAAAAAGCCTTGGTAGATGAACTGGAAAGAGATATTAACCCTAAATCATCACATTCCTTAGATCTACCCTGTCAAAAGAACTGCATAGAAAACTATAGATAAATACCATAAATTAAAATCAGCTGAAAACAGCAATACTTTGGTACTATGATTAAAAATAGTGGAGGGGACTGGATCTTGTTTGGGAATTAGTCTTTTATTTCGGAATAAGGCTTAGGTATAAAAGCTATGTTTGAGTTGACAGAAATCCATTTGAAATTGCATGTTTACGCAGTAGGTATATACAAACCTCAAAGTTCCAAGAATATTACAAATGGCCCTAGCTGTCCTGTCTTTTCTATAGGAATAAGCGTTTACAGATCCCCACTTTCCGTCAATGTATACTTCCACTCTTCCGGAAGTTGGAGTATCGCCATTAACGAGTCTGACAGGAATCGAGTCTAAGAAAGGAAATTTTGTTATTTTAATCACGCAATCACTTTTAACAAACACTTAATGCAATGTGTTCAAATAGAATATGAGTATAATATAAAATACAACATGGCTAAGTTTTGATGTTAATTTTTGTAAATCAGCAAGTTTTGATGTTAATTTTTGTAAATCAGCAAGTTTTGATATGTTAATTTTTTTTTCAATCGTAAAAGTAAAAATTACCTGCACAAATAACTCCAGCATTGTTTGAGAAAGTTTGTTTTTCTCCCTGCACATTGAACCAACATTGGAAAAGATTATTTTCAGAACCAGTACACTCCGTGTTGGTCATCCAAGACTTCCCCAAGGTTCCTCTGTAAAGTCCATTTCTCACGGTCATTGCTGCTCTCCTATTTATTTGTAATTTTATAGGTATAGAGGGGTAGACCTATATATAGAAATCATCGTCATCTACGAAATAAGACGAGGAGCGCCTGTATGATCCCGAAATTAAATAATGAGCGCCTATGAACCACTAAATCGATCTGTCACGGGAAAAGTTGCACTTCTTTTTCAAATTACAAAACTAATAAGACGACTTTATAGTGATTATCATTGTTGAAAGCACACATTTGACTACGCCCTGTTCCTCTTTTTCCATCAATTTATAGTTTAAAAAATATGAAAAGAAGCAGTTTCATCGACGTCTACACAATTCTGACATTGTAAGTCTCTCTAAGAATATCTCGTCAAGCTTAAATACTAATAATCAGGTCGGATTGTTTCAAAATTTACAGTCAACTATCCCAAAAATCCCTTTTTTCTACACGATACGTGAGGAGCTGCATATTCATTTAGATGTAATGACCTACAGGTGCTCTATCGGTAACTCATCTATTTCATGACTGCAAGATCACGTACGGTCATTAGAAAGTTTGTTGGAGTTCCCTTATGATTACTGCATGAGTACCAATATGAAATGTATGATTTTTGTCAATATTCTTGGAATTGACTCACAATTGACAGAAGATAGGTGCCATTGTTATATTAACGACCAATAGCTATATTATGTCATCGTACAAGTTTCAAAGTATACGTAAATATCGTAACATCAAAGTAAATTGCTATTACATTTAAAAAGTAAACCAATGAAATTCTTTATTATTTTTATAAGAAAAGCAATTGATTTACCATGGCAAGTCCATAGATCGACAGACAAGTCTTGACGCACGATAATCCCATCCATCTGTTTCTGCTGACCCCCATACATCTTGAATTTGAACTTCTACTCGCCCAGAAATATTAGAACCCCCTACCAGCCTTAAACTGGAATTAGCAAGCTGTGTTCCTGGAATTTTTTTTTCTAAATTTAGAACGTTGGATTCTGTGGATTGTATACACTGTTCCACTCACACAAATAGGGACAACGTGTTATAATAATTATAGATATGTCGGTATAACAATAACAGTTATGTCAACATAATTATGCCGAGCTATTTTATAAATGCCAGTTGACCAGTTTATTAGTAATTCTCTGGTTGTCGTTAAAACAACATAGATATCAATATGATTATATATTACAAATAGAAAATTAACATGCATGTTTGAGCATAATATACATGTATAATAATGATACATACACAAATAGTGCTTACTGGATTAAATTTCAAAGATAGTAGTCGTTTTAATCCTCTTAATTAAAGTGTTAATAAATGAACACAATTTACTTAATAAACCTATATTTCTGGTATAAAAAAAAAATCGTTAAATCTTATAATATTTCGTCCTGACATATAATATTTGGGAATATACAATTTTTCTTTCATCTTTTACAGCATAAAATATAATGGAATTCGTTTCGTATATGGTTTTTACATAAAAGGCATAAACTATTATCTCTTTTAGTATCATTCCATCTTTTAGTTTCATTAGGTAACTTCTTAATCTAGCTAGAATTTACCTCTTTTGATTACTAAAGATACATTTTTACAAATATACATAAAATTGACATTTAAAATTTAAATCCCTGCATAAAGTTTATGTCACACATTATGGAAAGTCATTGCAATTTGATTCCCAATTTTATTGAAACTGATCTTGAAATCAGAAAGGTTTAGTACAAACCTTCATCACAGAAGTACGCCCTTACACTTGAAGAACAGCATTCTATCAGACGGAAAGAACACGAAGATATAGTTGATTTGGAAGAACATTTTAAGCTGCTCAAACATTTGGTTCCATTTCCAACGCCAAACCAGGAGTAGTAAATTCTTCGAAGTCTGTAATGAAAATGGCAATTAAATTTAAGTAAAGTTATAATTATGTCTGTGGTGTTTTATTTTTCCGCTGAAAGAAAGGTAAATATTAGATAAAAAGAGGGTTATCTTATCAATATTTATCTCGCAAATCTTGCTTGAAAGTATACTACGATCGAAATAGTGATGCGTCGAGTGACGACACTGTCGAATCTGACTGAAATACAATTGAATCTGACTCACATACATTTGTGAAATCCAACGAAGAATCAGATTGGTGCAATTTTTATAGGTGCGCCCACATTCCCAAATGTATTGCCGTAAACGTGGAATGTTTCTAAGAAAGGTAGAAAAAGGCCAAAAAAGTTGTGCTTACTGAGTTAAGTATTTTCTTTTGGTGAAAGTGATGCAATACCTTATTAAATGTTGTGAGTGCTGGTAAACTATAAAATGGTCTTGCAAATAAAATCTGTGCCAGGACTGACAGTAGTTGACTTGATACATGTACCCCGGGGCATAATTCTGCGATTGAAAACACGGCCGATTTCCCCCCGTTACATCGATAATTCTGTGAAAATTGTTTTTTTTTTTATTTTGAACATGCAAATATATAGGCCTATATATCGATATATGATCTTTATTATTTTATAAGGAATTTAAAAATAACATTCGCCGTTACAGTAAAAATTGCACTGAAAAAAAAACAACACATGAATTTCGATTGTTCTGGCCGCTTGTTTATTGCCATGACGGCCGTTTATAAACTGGGTATGCAATAGCACACACACATTTGAAACATGGTATTTTTGACAGTTGTGGAAATAAAACAGTAAACTTTTAAATAATTCCGATGTTTCACATGTGTTTTACAAGCTATGAATATAGAAATTATATGTATTTTTCAATAACACATTTGATAACAAGTACTCCGGTATCAGCTGGGTATGCTTTACAATAATACCCGAGTTTTCAATATTTGCTTGCGTTTGCCTACCCAATGTAATAGTTCACTTGTTTACAATCACTAGAGTCTAAAAAAGAGATAAAACGTTTTTTAGCGGCACAGAATATTCAATTTATGGAAAATGTCGTCAATTTATTGCAGAGGAAATCGGCAGAAATGCATGTAGGATAAAATTGTGTGCTGTTGAACAATATGCATGTACCGTCTGTGAAAGGAATATCACAATTCAATTCAATTCAATTCAGTTTGTTTATTTATCAATCAAGGGCCCTCATGGGGCAAAAAGTACATTGTAAACACATATATAGTCATATACATGTAATACAATATACATACACACAAGAGAGAAAGATAGGAGAAAGACATTAAAAAGAAGGAATAAACCAGATAGTTTTTATACATATACATGTACATAAATTCTGCATCAATAAATAAATAAATAAATAAATAAATAAATAAATAAATATATATATATATATATATATATGTGTGTGTGTGTGTGTGTGTGTGTGTGTGTGTGTGTGTGATTGTGTGCAAAAATATTTATAACATACACATACGAAAGTACATACTTTTGCATAATTTATCATAGAACAGTTCACATGCATGAGACTTGACTTATGGTAATGCTTTTTGTAAAAATCTTCCAAGAGAATTTAAAATATCTAATTCCTCACAATTTAGAATCCAGAATAATTTTTGTTTATCGGGCAATTTTGTAAAATGTTTTACTTTGGATGAGATTAAGTTAAATAGGTCTTCTCTTTCCTTTGTAAATTTGCTACAGTGAATAAGGAAATGTTCTTCATCTTCAATTTGATTAAGCATACAATTTTTACATATTCTTTCTGTTGTAGGTGTGTTAATTAGATATTTTTCCAGTCTAAAAATGTTCTTCAGAAACAAATAAGTGATAAGTTTACCCTCTTTTAGTGTTTCATTTGAGTACTGCCAATCCATAGAGTATTTTTTTTTTTATCTGGGATTGTTTTAATGAAGTTACAAATTAATGTACTCTTAGTATATGACATAATGTTTGGAATATCAAATATTCTTAGTAATTTTTCTGTTGAGGAATACCAAGTTGTTCTTTGGGCGAGATGAAGTTCCTTACTACATATGAATGCATCTTTTATAAAGGAAAATCTGATGTTCAATTTTCTAGTCTGTAGCAGTATTTAAGTAATCTGTTGACAATATCATAATGTAACGGATATCTACCCAGTTCTGAAAGAGAAGCATGGTTCACACTTTTCCTATTCAAACCTAATATAGTTTTACAGAATTTGATGTGTTAATTTTGACCTATGAAGTTTTTATAGCATAGTTGCATCAATACATAATCAGATTGCTTTATTTTTGAATTTATTTATTAACATTAAATATTCCCCATATTTCTGAGCCATAAAGTAATATGGGCTTAATAGTGTGATCAAAGACATTTAGACTGGTGGATCACATGCTGAAATATGATTTTATGGTTTGTTTCTTGTTTTTTGTTCAAAAAGTCAGCATCAGTTTTCGACCATCAAACATGGCTAGGCCGTTGGACACTTTCCAACTATATAGACAAAGGATACCACACGAGAGTGGGCGGGACTTAATCAACCAATTAAAACGCATGTTTTACAGAATGTAACCCGTGATTCAAATTGTTCAATTGTCAAATCCAATAGTGTCATCGTTCACGCTATTTCGGTCGTAGTGTATACTTTCAAGCGAGATTTGCGATAAATTTACGAAATTGTTTGTCTTACTCAATAATCTTTATTGGAAACATGCGCGG